TTTGAGATGGAGTTTCACTCATGTTACCCAGGCTGGAGTGCAATGGCCCGATCTCGGCTCACCGCAACCTCCGCCTCCTGGGTTCAGGCAATTCTCCTGCCTCAGCCTCCTGAGTAGCTGGGATTACAGGCACGCACCACCATGCCCAGCTAATTTTTTGTATTTTTTTAGTAGAGACGGGGTTTCACCGTGCTGACCAGGATGGTCTCGATCTCTTGACCTCGTGATCCACCCGCCTCAGCCTCCCAAAGTGCTGGGATTACAGGCTTGAGCCACCGCGCCCGGCCCGTTTTCTGATTTTTGTATTGATATGCTTTCAGTTTATTTTTGTGTATCTATACCAATATTTTCTTCTTTCTTTCTCTTTCTTTCTTCTTTCTCTCTTTCTGTGTTTCTGCCTTCCTTCCTCCCTTCCTTTTTCTTTCTTCCTCCTTCCTCCCTGCTCTCTCTCTCTCTCCTTCTTTTTCTTTCTTTCTTTATTTCGTTCTTTCTTCCTTTCCTTCTTCTTTCTCTCTCTCTCTCTCTCTTTCTCTTTCTTTCATCTTGCTCTGTAGCATAGGCTGGTGTGCAGCTCACTGCAGCCTCCACCTTTCAGGTCTCAGTTCAAGCAATTGCCCTGCCTCAGCCTCCTGAGTAGCAGGGACAACAGGCATGCACCAGCATGCCCAGATAATTTTTGTATTTTTAGTAGATAAGGTGTTTCACCATGTTGGCCATGCTGGTCTTGAATTCCTGACCTCATCATCTGCCCGGCTTGGCATCCTGAAGTGCTGGGATTACAGGGAAAAGCCACTGTGCCCAGCCCAGATATTTTCTTCTTTTTTTTTTGAGACAGAGTCTGACTCCATCACCAGGCGCCAGGCTGGAGGGCAGTGGTGCAACCTTGGCTGACTGCAACCTCTGCGTCCCAGGTTCAAGCAATTCTCCTGCCTCAGCCTCCCAAGTAGCTGGGATTACAAGTGCAGATCACAGCACCCAGCTAATTTTTTTTTTTTTTTTTTTTAGTAGAGACGGGGTTTCACCATGTTGGCCAGGTTGGTCTCGATCTGTTGACCTCGTGATCCACCCGCCTCGGCCTCCCAGTGTGCTGCGATTACAGGCGTGAGCCACCGCACCCGGCTGCAGCCCAGACATTTTCTTAGTGATACCTGGCAGATTACATAAAACCTCTAAAATATCCAACAATATATTTAAATGTGGTGCATTTAACTTCATTTTCATACAAAACTTCTTCATCGGCCGGGCGCGGTGGCTCACGCCGGTAATCCCAGCACTTTGGGAGGCCGAGGCGGGTGGATCACGAGGTCAAGAGATCGAGACCATCCTGGTCAACATGGTGAAACCCCGTCTCTACTAAAAATACAAAAAATCAGCTGGGCATGGTGGTGCATGCCTGTTAATCCCAGGTACTCAGGAGGCTGAGGCAGGAGAATTGCCTGAACCCAGGAGGCGGAGGTTGCGGTAAGCCGAGATCGCGCCATTGCACTCCAGCCTGGGTAACAAGAGCGAAACTCCGTCTCAAAAAAAAAAAAAAAAATTCTTCTTCATCATTACATCTGCTTTTAACTTTGTTATTGATTTTGCTAATTATATATTTTATGATGTATATTCTTTAACAGATGTTTACAATAATTTCTATATTCTTTTAAATTTTAAAGAATAACTAAAAATGTTTTCTACACTATTCTAATAATATTAAGTAAAAAATTCCATGTTTTGTGTATGTGCATGTATTTTCCAGAAAGTTATGTATTTTCATATGATTTTGTGTTGTTTTCTTGCATTATTCTATTTTCAGTGAAAGAAACTCCTTTCAGCATCTTTGATATATAGGACATCTGCAGTGCCAATAGACTTCCTCTGGATTTGGTTATTTTGAAGGATTTCTTATTATTTGATTGTACAGTTTTGCTGATGATATTATTCCTACCCGAGAGCTTTTTGTTAAATTATAACTTTAACAATATTACAGTTTCCTTCTGACCTGCAAACATTTTTTTTGACAAATTCACTGGTTCACTCATGAGACTGTGCTTATAAACGACACATCGTTTTTATCTTGCAGCTCCCCAAATTCTCTTATCTGTAATTTTTGAAATTTTGCTACTATGCGTGTTTGATGTAAGTATCTTTTTGTGTATCCTAGTTTGTTTGTTCAGCTTTTACATTTTTTTTTCTTTTTCTGAGATGGAGCCATGCTTGGTCAGGAGACTGGAGTGCAGTGGCACGATCCCAGCTCACCGCAACCTCCGCCTCCTGAGTTCAGGGGATTCCCCTGCCTCAGCCTCCCAAGTAGCTGGGACTACAGGCACCTACCACCACACCCGGATACGTTTTTTTTCAGATGTCGTTTCACTCTTGTTTTCCAGGCTTGAGTGCAAAGGCGCAATGTCGGCTCTCCCCAACCTTATCCTCCTGGGTACAAGCGATTCTCCTGCCTAAGCCTCCTGATTAGCTGGGACTTAACAGGTGCATGCCGCCACGCTTGGCCAATTTTTTGTACTTTTAGTAGAAACTCAGTTTCCCCATGTAAGCCAGGACGGTCTCAATATCCTGACTTCATGATCTGCACACCTTGGCCTCCCAGTGTGTTTGGATTCCAGGAATAAGCCATCAAGCCTCGCCTGTTCAATTTGTTTGGAAGTTTAAAAATTACTATGCCGGATACGATGGCTCACGCCTGCATTCCCAGCCCTTTGGGAGCCCGAGGTGGGTGGATCACAAAGTCAAGAGTTCAAGAGTAGCCCGGCCAAGATAGTCAAACCTGATCTCTACTAAAAATTACAAAACAATTAGCCGGGTGTGGTGGTACACACTTGCAATCCCAGGTACTTGGATTCTGCTGAGACAGGAGAATCACTTCAACCCAGGAGGTGGAGGTTGCAGTGAGCTAAGATCGCACTGCTGCACTCCAGCCTGGACAACAGAACAAGACTCTGTCTAAAAAAAAAAAAAAAAATTATATACTTTTTATGGTTGCTTTTGAAAATTATATAATTTTTTTTTGATGGGTCCATGTTACTCTAATATTTTGTATACATTGTAATCTTTGAGATTGAGATTTTGACATTAACAAAAACTACCTCTTACATTCTTTATAATATAGCATTGTTTTGTTGTAGTCTGAAAAGAGTTGTCTTGGCTAGAGATTCTGGAAATTTATCAAACACACTTTTAGGATGTGTCTTGTCCAGAATTTTGTGTTTCGTGTTTAGCTAAATTGGCTTATTCATACTTCTTCTTAATAATCAGTCGTCACTTGCTACACCCATTTCCTGTTGGGGGTACTGCATTTTCTCTGCTTCTGTATCATTTATCTTTAGACTCAGTGAACTCAAACTATCATTTCAACGTATATCATCCTCTCTTTCAGCATTTTATGTCATGGGACACATTAGCCAGTGTTTACAAATGCCCCTAGAAGGGATAAATAAAAATGCAGTGTCGCCGGGCACAGTGGCTCACGCCTGTAATCCCAGCACTTTGGGAGGCCGAGACGGGTGGATCATGAGGTCAAGAGATGGAGACCATCCTGGCCAACATGGTGAAACCCCGTCTCTACTAAAAATACAAAAATTAGCCAGGGGTGGTGGCACGCGCCTGTAGTCCCAGCTACTCGGGAGGCTGAGGCAGGGGAATTGCTTGAATGCGGGAGGTGGAGGTTGCAGTGAGCCGAGATGGTGCCACTGCACTCCAGCATGGCATCTGGCGGCTGAGTGAGACTCAGTCTCAAAAAAAAAAAAAAGTATGTGTTAATATTTTTATGTTTGTTAAAAATGAAACCAGTAGTTGGCAATTTAAATTTGTGTGTGTGTGAGTGACACAGTCTCACTCTATTACCTAAGCTGAAGTGCAGTGGCGTGATCTTGGCTCACTACAGTCTGCCTCCACAGTTAAAGGAATCCTCCTGCCTCAGTCTCGCAAGTGGCTAGGATTACAGGTACCTGTTACCACGCCTGCCTAGTTTTTTTGTATTTTTAGTAGAGATGGTATTTAACCCGGTTGGTCAGGCTGGTCTCAAACTCCTGACCTCAGGTAATCCACCTGCCTTTTTCATCTGATGTGCTGAGATTACAGGCATGAGACGTGATGTCTGTCTGGCAATTTATTAGTTTTTGTTTTGTTTGTTTTTTAATGCTCAGTGTCACTCTGTCACCCAGGCTGGATTGTAGTGGCACGGTCTCAGCTCACTGCAACCTCTGCCTCCCAGGGTCAAGCAATTCTCAGCCTCAGCCTCCTGAGTAGCTGGGATTACAGGTGCCCCCAACCATTCCCACCTACTTTTTTGTATTTTTAGTAGAGACAAAGTTTCAGCATCTTGGCCAGGTTGGTCTTCAACTCCTGACTTCATGTGTTCCACCCCTGTCACCCTCCCCAAGTGCTGGGATGACAGGCATGAGCCACGGTCCCTGACTGGCACTGTGCTTGAGGAGGAGGACCCGTATCTGTTATGAGAAACCGACTTTTCTGTTTCTTCTGTGTGGCTTTTTGAATTGTGCTCACCTGGGGCCTTCACACACTTAACACACTCATAAATTTTTTACAAATGGATTTTGGTCAGTATGTTTTTGTTATATTTATATGACCAGGAAGAAATTACAGCTTGTGGTATTTTGCTATGTCATCTCGCTGATGTAGTTTGTATGATTTTATACAATAGATTTGTAAAGTGTATTTATCTGAGTCTAGCAATTGAAGTAATGTGTTTGTATCGTTTCTTTCAGGTATGTCTTCTCATTTTGCCCAAGACCTTTTGCCGGAGCAGAGCATGAAAGATTCTTTCCAAAAAATGATACTGAGTAGATGTGAAAAATATGGATATGACACTTTACAGTTAAAAAATGTCTGTGAAAGCGTAGCCTGGTGTCATGTGCACAAAGCAGGT